ATACAAAATAAAAAATAGATTTAAAAAAATTTACCAACCATGGGAGAATTGAACCCCGGCCCTCCAGCATGCGAAATTTCGAATATCGCCACTAGACTACGGCGCTACTTTAAAATTGTTGAAAATAAATTTATAGCTGTAGTAGTAATAAAACTTTAATTGCAAATATCTCAAAAAGTATCGAGTAGTTGTGTCTATAATGATATATTTTCTTCAACTGCATGACGATATCTACAAATCTGCACAGTGTCAACTAAATCGGTGACCCGAAGTACTTGCACTCTTCTTGTCAGTCGCAACAACGACGGCCACGAATACTCGAAGAAGCTAGGTTCTCTGGACGAATCGCAAACACCTCGCGAGACCAAAAGTAGGTCCACCTACAACGAGGAACAGTTCCGTTGCCAAGACCGTTCCGCAATTCGGACGTTTTCGCGGTACGAATTGCCAGTGGTGTGACGCGAATTCGTTAGCCAGATAGATTCTAGTAAACGCAGTGAGTCCTTGGTGAAGCTCGTGTACGTCGTTTACCAACGAGACATTAAGAGAGAAGAGAATGGCCGAGGGTAGATCGATTGACTCGGATTCGACGGCGATTGCCTTGGAGAAGTGGAAAACGCAAGGAAAGACTTTCATCTGGCGGAACGGCGGCAAGGCCAATGAAAAGTGCGCCGATGAAACGTACCGTGACGATCGTGTCTGTTATTCCCGATTGCATAGTGAGGCGCGCACGTGCCAGGCGCGTTACCAGCACCAAGTGTAGCGTAAATAGCTTCCGCGATGCATGTTGCGGCAGACCGCGAGGGAAAAAGAAGCGAATCGATAGCGAATTCGCTGGTCCGTTCCCGCATCCCTCCACACTTCCAATATCTCGATCGTTTCCGTTTTGCCATTTCGGAAACCGGTCGCCGCCGTTGTGCACGTAGCTTAACACTCGAGAAGAAAGCCGAGATACGAGTAAGAAGGGAGCGAGCAGCGAGAACACGAAGCAATTACTTTGCCCCCCCGTTTAAATCGTTCGAGCAGTTTCGTTATTACCTTTTTTGCGAGCATTAAAGTCGGTCGCCTTGTCGGGCGCATATAGCAAACCTCGCACGCTCGGTTTCCCACGATCGATCATTTTTCTCCAACTTCCACGATAATTCCGCGTCCCTCCTCTTCCCGATCGATTATTCCAATCGGCGTTGATTAACGCGAGAATTCGCCGTTCGAGTCTCCGCGATCTCGATCCTGAAATTAGTCGCGAAGCTGCTGGCGTGAAAGTTGCATCGAGAATCGAAGATCCAACGGGACAGATCGTGGTACGCTCGTTACGGTTATTCGAAGATAATGAGTATATGGATCGGCGATCCGGACGCGTACTTCTTGGGAAGGAGAAGCCTGCTCCCCCCGACGAAGATCATCGGCGTTAGGCGAATGGAACACGCCGATCTGCCATACCTGGAGCGGCTCGTACGGCCAGAGACGTACGAGATTTTCGTTTCGTTCGAAAGCTATCGCTTATCGAGGATTCGTGTGCCAAAGGGCCGAGAACGTGACGGAAAGAAACGCGATGTTCGTGCACATCCTTGTGTGGGACAAACGATACACTGGCTGCTTTTTCAAAGATCTCCTGACCGGGCTGTTCGATGTCACTTCGTACTTGCAACACGTCATCCTCGTAATTCCTCCTCGGATTATCCTAAGTGAGTCGAAAGATTGATCTCCACGGTCAACGCCGCTACTCGAGATAACCGGTCACCGTTGCAATTTTCCAGTGGACGTGTTCGAACAACAGATGATCAAGATCCCGCTTAGATGCACGACTGACAGGCACTCCGTGCAATCTGTTTACATGACCGATCGGTATTTAAAAAATCCCAGGCTGAAAATTCGAAGCCTCGTGTAAGTCTCGATTCGTTCGAGGTGCGATACGACCGATGACCCATCGATTTCGTTTTCCCGCGACAGCGAGGAGGATAACGACGACGTGATACCGATCATCGACGCCGAGTCCAGGCTCGTGAAGGAGTTCTATGGAGAATTTTACGTCAGCGAGATGGTTCGCAATCCCGACAATTGTCGACGACTGATCGTTTCCGAAGATGACGAAGGACTGGCCACTGGCGTGATGATTCTGAACAGCAACATAGACGTGGATATGCTCGGCGAGAATTTCGAGTTGCTGCCGTATAACGGGCTCAGAAAGTCTCGCGAGAACGATCGATTTCCCCGGGAAACTATGAAGCCTGCCAGTGAGACGTTCTTCTCGATATTCTCGAGGAAGCATCGAGAGGAATCACCTCGAGGGTTGGATATTTTTTGAAGCCAATTTCGTAGACCTATCAGCTGGATAATGATGGTAACATTCGAACTATCTTAGATCTTCCGAGAAACTTTCTCCGGAGCAAAGCGTGGAAGACTTCAAGCACGCGGCAGACTCCGATACTTCTGTCTTCTCGATCAATCGTCGTTTGTCAACGATGAAGTTAGAGCGATCTAAGGAGAGGGTAGCTGATCCGTCCCTCCTGACTTTTCTCAGCGATCTGCCATCGATAGCCGATTACCTCGAATCGTATTATCAGTCGAAAATGATATCCAGTGCATTCGCGGATTCCTTGTTCGCCGTTCCGCGTGAGTTCAACGTCCAACGGGTTCCGACTCGCTCGATTTTATTTCAAAAGAGAGCAACCAAATGGTTTTTCCCGACGAAGGAAAAAGCATCGTCGCGGCTGCTGAAATCGTCGAGGTCTTGTCATCGGAGAAGATCAAAGTTCCTTCGCAGCCGGTTTATTACGGCGAGGTGGACGCGTTCGTTTTGGAGATTTTCGCCATGAAGGAGCAAATAAAGCGTCGTTGGTGCAGGAACTTCATCGAGGCTGCGTTCGAGTGCTTTCCCGACTTGGATTACTGCGCGATCCTTCTACCGTTCTCTCATCCCTTTCTTCCTCTCCTCGAACATTTCGTGGTACGATGAACATTTCGTCAAGGGTGTCGCCTGTCTGATGAAATTAACCATGTTCCGATACCTTTCCGCACGGTTCAGCGCGTGCCACTGAGGTGCAACAAGGATTTTCCAATGACTCTGTACGTCACCCATCGAACTGCCATTTTGGGTGAAATGAAGCTTCGCGAGGCTAGGCTCTCCGACCGGGAGGAAGTGCAGGAGCTTCTACGGAGGATTCCCAAGGCGGAGCAAATTCTGCTCGACTTTGACATCGCGGTGAAGAAGGAACGATCGGATCTCCACTGTTACGTTCTTCACTGGAACGACGTAGTTGTCGGTGTAGCGATTCTTTGGTAAGGATCTTCGTCGTTCTCGAGGAATGTCTGAAATCGTGATGTAAAATATATTGCATCAGTGCTGAGAAAGAAGCTACGTATATTAGACGACGTTTCCACGTGGAGGATTACATCGCAGTGAAGGACATACCTAACGATGCTTACGGTCGTATTCTACATTTTGTCCTGATGCCAGTATTCTCCATCCACGTGCATCACTTCATCTGCGAGATCGTGCGTTTCAGTGGCATGATCGTTCTTTACTATCGACTCACGGAAAGTGCATTAAGTGCATTGGTAATGGCTCGTGCAATTACTTTGTGCCCCGATACCTGCAATTAACACACTGATAAATGCGCCATCGAATTTCAGACTCGCACGCATCCCGTGCTGATGTGTTTGAACGCCCTAATTCCGCTAAGACCTCGTCAAAGGATCGAATACAGGTACAGCGATGTACTCGTGGAAACCGACGAACCTGAAGCGCAAACAGAGTTCTTCTCGCTGTTCATAACGACGCCAAGGTTGGCAATGGTGCCGAAGCTGATCATCGATTCAAAGGTGGTCGTAGTGGGTGCCTCTGACTGTGGCGTCGCGTTCCTCGAACAGCTGGCTTTTGGGTAAACGTTCGAACGCGAGGACACTCGCAAGGCTCTGTCATCGTTTCCTGTTCTCCAATTCAGACACAGTTTCGTACGATTCGCCAATCTTACTCTGATATCTCCGAATGGTTTGCCTTTCGAGAACGAGACCAACGACGCGAGTGCGCGCATGATACCGTTCAAAGGTCGATACTGTCGAAAATATCGTCAACTGGTCGCTACGCGTGCTTGGATCAACGTTGTATACGGAACAGTGATCGGGATTCAAAGGTATGACAGGATGAAACGAAACGTAGCGAAAGAGGCTCGTGTATCCGTGTGTTTGACAGGAAGAAGAAGTATGTGACTGTAATGCAACAAGGCAACATCGCGTACGACTATTTGATCCTGACCTGCGGGATGCAGTACCAGAGACCTCGGTTCCAGGAGGAAATGGAAGAGCAGAAGAGAGGGTAAACGAAGAAAACGAAGGTTCTAGAAACAGGGGGAACGATAATTATACGTATTCCTTGTGCAGCGAGTTTCTGGAGTACGAAACACCTTGGAACTGTTTGACGATCAACGACGATACCGATGCAGTCACGTGTCTGGAGACGATACTGAAGCTAACGAGCAACTTGCAACGCGAAAGTTGGTTCGCGCAGACATCTTGCGAGACGAAAACGAATTACTAACCTGTCCGAATTTTCAGAGAAAATTATTTTTTACGGGCACAACATAGACTGCTATTGCGCGCTTCAAGGATTGCTCGATTTCGGGATAAAGGGTTCTTGGATCGCGTTGATTCAACCGCCGTTGCAACGGTGTACGACTCATGACGGTGCTTTCTTCAATAACTGCGAGGTACAACAAATACGCGAATTAAGCTTCTTTCCTTTAATCCTTGGGGAAATATGCACGGAAGGTGTACGTGGAAGTTATGAAGTCGATTTCGAGGAATAACATCGAAGTACTGGTGGGATGGGAGTTGATCGATTGGAACCTAAAAGACTCGCTAGATGGAAAGACGATAGAATCGATCGTTCTCAGATTAAAGGGCAAAATTAGAACGATAGAATGCGACGCCCTTCTATGCTTTCACGAGAAGACCATCGACATGAGGATATTCTTGGGTGATTGCCAACATTCGACGTCAACGACGTAGCTTCGTGACCGTCTACCGTAATTCACCGAATCGATCGGTTCGTTTCAGCGATCTGTAGGGCTGGGTTGATGTTCGACGGCCAGCTGGTCATAAATGCGGAATTGAGAACGAACGATCCGTTCATCTTTGCTGCTGGCACTATAACCAAGTACTGTAGGAAGTTCTACTTAGAGGCTTGGCAGCATGTGCACTTCAACAGTATAGAAATCGGCGAGAGAGTGAGTAGAGGAGATTTTGGAATCTTCGCGTACGCCAGAGAATGTTACGGACTTACGGATAAATTCGACAGCTGGCGAAAGTCATTCTGTCGATCATCGAAAAGGCACATTCAACCTGCGAGACATTTTTCCAACCGTTCGAACGCAAAGCGTACCGACCGCTCACTGTGTTTCGATCGCCGAAAATCCTGGCTTGCACTTTGCCCGGTGGTTATCGCTATTTTCACGTTTGCAAGCCTGGAAAACCCACGCCACGCAAGTTTCAGCAACGTTCCGTGAAGAAATTCGGCTGAACGGATTGATCGTGTTTAGGGCCAAGTGTTTACGACAGGCTCCTGCACATCCGAGATCGGATACTTCCGGATACGATTGAATCGATTCGATACGATCGAGACGGTAACCTGCTTTAACAAAAAGGTAAAAAGATTTTTCTTATTCTTTTATACGATTCTCGGTTGAGTTACACGGCGCTTTAGGACTTCGAAATGCGCCATATGATTTCATTGGTCGGGAAACACGAGAGCTTACTGAACGAGTTGAAGACGCGTTTCAAAGTGAGTGTCCTCCTCCGTCGCTTTCGAATTCCAGTTTTCACGCGTAATTTTTCCACGTCAGAATTCACTGATCGCGGACTTTTACGCGTACTTCCGAGAACCCTGGGCTATGGCGATCTTCCACGATAGATTCGAATGCCTCCGCGTGGAAAATCGAGCTCTACTCTTGTCAAAGACGGTAAAAGATGAAACGATAGAAACGAAACGATCGACTGAAAGGACAATGAAAATATTTTTCTCGCGACAGGCGATTCCCGGTCAATCCCTGGTCAATGATTGCATACGCGCCCTAGTACAGTCCAAATGGAACCCGGTGAGTGAAGAATTACATTTTTCCCCCGAAATCTGTCAAACGTTATGCAACGAATCTTCAGATAGAAGAGGACGATCGTCATACCATACAGTCGAGATTCGCTGGTTCGGTGTATCAGCAGGAGATCGAGGAAAATGTGCTGGAATTCCTGCAGTTCTGCGAAGAGGATATACCGGTGTACTGTACGCCTGGAAAGTTGCGCGAATTCTATGCACACATCGAGGACAGTCCTCTGTATAAAGATCTCTAACCAGCTCTTCGATCCTGTCACCGCCAATTTCTATTTCACGCTTCCTCGGACAAACAAGCACGAAATAAACACGTCGTAAGATAATCCCGTGCTTTTTCCTCGATAAATTTGCCCGTCTAGCTCGGATTTTCGAGTCGCGCGAGACTTCCACGAAAACCGCAAACGCGTTGCCAGGCGATCGCGTTACGGATCGACGAGCAAACGTTTTCTGATTTTGAGAGCGAGTTTCCGATCCGAAGACGTCCTCGATCGCCTCGCCCGTGCCTATTTACTTGGCATGCGATCCGATCTCTGGGTCAAGTTTAACATTCCTACGACTTGCTCCATAAACATACAGCTCAAGGCGGCGTTTATCTGCCACCTACGCATCGTGAAACAACAAAATACGCGTTACGGAATGCCACGGCACGCCTGTTAAACGCGAAATCGCGCGTCGATTTGGCACTCTCTCTCTCTCTCTCTCTCTCTGGAGGACAGAGCTACCTGAACTCGAAGAGAAAGCTTCCTCGAAAGGAAGTCGAGTTTGGAACCATTCGTCTCACGAATCAACGACGACGAGTTATTACTCGCGACGAAGGGTAGCTAGGTACAAGTTGTATCTATTTCTCGTGCTACCAATGTTAACCAATGTTAAACCGGCGATTTAAATAAAGAGTATCGAGATGTCTTATCAATTACACGGCACAGGAAAGCGGCCAAATGCTTTACGGCTTAATGGACCGGTGATTCACAAGCGGATACAGAACCTTATAATTAACCTTTTTGGCAAAGAACTAGGTCGGAGCTTTCGTTAGACCGGTGCATCCGATCAAGGTTGATCCTCTCCTACGTACACGCATCGATTTACATTTTTATATTGCTACGCGAGCAAAATCAATTGCGACGAAAGCAGGTAGGAATCAGTCGCGCGTGAACCGTGCACGAGGCACGTTTATCGTTCGATCTTTCATCGGCCAGGACGACATCGACGCTCGCGAGGATGAGCAGACCGACATCGCTCTCTTACTTTTACGAAAGAAAGTGCTACTTGTGCGAACGTCGCACCGTTTACCCGGATCACGACGTCGTCAAAAAGCCAACGCAGAGAGTGAGATTCGCCGAGCCGAGTAAGTGGTTGAACATTCGTCGGAAAATGTTTAGAACGTTCGTGGCGGCTCTGAGAAAGCGTATGATGACACGCGACAAAAGTTTCGCGCAAATGTCGGCAACGAGAAGACCGCGCGACTCGATCTCTGTTATTCCCGTTCCCGTATAATCGGCTCTTGAAATGTATCCAAAAGCATGGAGTCCCTGACGTCGGGTCAATGTCGCGCTATTCTCGTTCCCCGTTTCATGGCCCGAAAACGCGGCTTTCGTAGCTGTCGCTAAATAGCGACGAGATCGCTCAGGCTGCGCGAATTCGACGGATTTAACCGTGGATCGTTTTATTCCGACGCTATTTCTTCGGTAAACGCGGGATTATTCCGCTTAAGGCATTCCCTCGCTAATCTTGCATCATAATAGTACAATAAATAGAAAACAACATCGCGCGCATTTACGTAATGCCGGCGTTATTATACAACTATTACGATTACCTCGCCTCCGTAATATAACTTGCGAGCTAGTGATAATGCGAGACGCAGTTATGTAATGAAAGTCCATTTAGCGGGAGGTCGGTTCTCGGGCTTGTACGGTGTATCAACATGTTTGTTCGCCGTAAAAGGGGATATTCAAGACCTATATTCGCGATGCGTCGCGCTGATTCACGAGTCTTTTGTCGCGATAATCGTCGCGATTTTTCTCTTAGCGTCGCCTCGATCACCTTGCCTTTGTAACGGATAATGCTTGTTGTTCGCAGAGAAAATGCTAAGATCAGCCTCGCCGCAGTATCCCAGCAGAGGATCCGATGCTCGAGTGATCCGTTTGACGGCGGATCAAGAAGCTGTTCTCCAGGAGCAGTTCAACAGATGGCCGAGGGCACCTCACACTGCGGATGTCGTCCTGTTGGCAGCCGAGACAGGTCTTTCCGAAGCCGACGTCGAGGTTTCTATATCCCTTAATCCTCCTGAAAATGAAATATTTTCTTGATTCCTTTGTATAAGAGAAATTACGGTTAAATATTTAACGACTTGACATGTTTCAGGCCTGGTACGCTATCCGATTAGCCCAATGGAGGAAAGAACAGGGCCTGGGGGGAAATCTTGGTTTGCATTAACGTTTGACAGTGAGACTTCCTTAACGTGACTGTGTACCTGAAAATGTAATTCGTATAAGGATTGCCTATGAACCTGACAACGATCTATTCTTTATCGATATTCCGTTGCTTCTAGCTTAGCAATTGTATTCATGTAGATTTCGTTAATTTAAAACGACACGATTTATTTATGATAATCATCATTGCGTAGCGTAGCAAAGTTAGGGCGAATGGTTGCAAACCAAAAATTGATTTTAAGAAGTAACTTTGAGTAGGAAAACGTATAGTAGAGAAATAATCGTAGTTATATTAACGTTTTTATGATTATTTATTTCGATTCTAAAGTATGCAAATGTTAGAACGATCGAATAAAAAATTCTTTTCAACTGCCTCGACATTGTTTATTCGTATGTATGTCGTGCAAAGAAGACATTACCAGTGAGTATTAATCATAGTGTAAATAGAATCTGACAGATATACTTTAATGCTTCTGTACAGTTATACTAAATATTTCTACAAGAAATACGAATTCCATTGGAAATATTTGTATAACTCGGTTACTTAGATAAATGTCATACTAAAAATATCAGTCATCGTGTATCTTAAAATGATAAAAGAAATTATTAAGTATCGCGTATCGTAATCGTGATTTATTGTCTGTGTTATGCATTTGGGGTATACATAATTTTCAATAAAGGAACTGTAACAATTAAACATATTTAAAATTTACAAAAAGGAAATCCATATAAGACTCCATATAAAATATGTATACTTATAATATATTAGTTTAACGATACAGAACTAATAGATAACTAGAACGTTGTTTATCTAATATTGGCATCTTTTCCAATCGCATCTTTAATAGATACTAGACCATCTTGTTTCAGCATATCATCCAATTCCCGTTTAATTTTTCCTATCACTGGTGGTCCCCGGAACGTAAACGACGTATAAAGTTGTATCAAAGAAGCACCAGCTTTGATTTTGTCGTAAGCGTCTGCTCCGGTAAATATTCCACCAACTCCGATAATGGGAATGATACCATGCGTTCGTTTATACATATCTGAGATCATTGTGGTCGAAATGTCAGTCAAAGGAGCACCACTGAGTCCTCCAGGCTCCTCTTTAAAAGGACTCGTTAAATTATTACGCGTGACCGTAGTATTACATAATATTAAGCCATCTACTTTTGACTTTTCTTTCAGTATTACATCTGCAATGTCTTGTTTCTCGGAATCAGATAAATCTGGAGCAAGCTTTAACAGCAATGGTTGTTTGCTTTGTATCGATTGTCTAACATTGTTTATCTTTGTTAATAACTGCTCCAGATCATCCTTTCTCTGCATCGTTCTTAATCCAGGTGTATTGGGACTAGATATATTAACCACAAAGTAATCTGCCACATCCGAGAACTTCTTAATGCCATCTATATAATCCTGTGCCACATCTTCCGATGTCTTATTTTTACCTAAATTAACTCCAACGATACCATGGAAGTTCTGACCTTCCTTGAGCCTTTTTAAACGTTCCCATACAGTTTCGTGGCCTTCACTGTTGAATCCGTAACGATTAACAACTGCATTGTCCTCTAATAATCTGAAAAGTCTAGGTTTTGAATTGCCAGGTTGAGGTTTTGGCGTAACTGATCCTATATAGTGGAAATTGCAATATAGTATCGACGATTTAAGGTTCATTTCAAAGTACTTACCTATTTCTACGAAACTAAATCCTATTTTGTGTAAACCCGCTACAGCTTCAGCTTGCTTATCAAAACCAGCTGCCATTCCTATTGGATTCTTAAACTGCATGCCCCAAACATCGATAGCAAGGGAAGACGGATCATCTGTATTTTGCTTAGGTAAAAGGCCCCATTTTAAAATCTTTATTGCAGCATTGTGTGCAATTTCAGGATTCACCAACTGTACAAGCGGTATGATAAATTTGTTGTAAAAGTTTTCGTTACTCTGGTAAATGCAAAAGCCACTATAGAAAATAGTAGCAGTGCTGGTCACTTTTAAAAGTGATTTTAGTTTCTGTTTACTGCTCAAACGTTGTGCCATTTTACGACAGGAGTATTGTTTCTATAAATAATTGCACTTCGTCGAATAAAAGCATTTAAGCCTTTTTTAAGGTTAAGGACGCTCGTTCAGCATGCGATCAATTTATCACAAGACGATATCGTGACCCATCCTTGCGTTAAATCACTTAAATATCGCAATTCTAAATAATTAATCCACATTCTATATTTAATACATATTTCAAATGTTTTCATCGCGTGGCCACGACGCGATACGCGATTGACATTGCATCACCATCTGTGGGCCATTGCACGAATTGTCCACTACTATGTCCATTGGCACGATCTACTGCGCATTCTTAATTTTGAAATTGTTTCGATTTCGAGTATTTGAATTAACATTAAACGATCATCAAAGATAAATGTTTAGTATTTTATTACGCTACATTGCTTATTAAAATATCTGTTTCTACATAAAAGCCTTAAACATTTATCATCAACCGAAGAATTGAAAGATACGACACCGAAGTTTTTACAATAGTCATGGACGTCTCCATATTCATAGCAAATATGATTCCAGCCTTCAGGAGAACTGGTTCTTGAGTTTTCATAATGACATAAACGATATCTTTTGCGATATTTCGCGGTGTGTCGTACCAGTTGCAGAAATACAGGGTATAACCGATGCCTTCCATTTCACGTTTCAAGTATTCACCTACGTAACAGTATGCGAACATTTGCGTCAACAGAGTAAATAACACTAGGAATGTTTTCGTTATCATAAGGACGTTCGCCGTAGGCAGAGAGAGAATAAATTGAAATTCTGGAAAGAGATATAAATCAGTCCTATACATACGTCGAGTGTATTTAAATAAACACGAGTTTTCGTAATTTATGTCGTGTTATTAGCGAAAGTAAGACTGTAGTAATGTTTACCGGTTACACAAATAAGTATGCTACACGAGGACAGTTGTGCCATCAAGACAGAACTGACCGACTCGTTCAGCATCTTGGTAAGATTCAGTAAGTAAATGTGCCTTTTGATTAACACGTTAAATTCTTCCCTTTCTTTATCGCCATTGTTGATAAATTTAGTCAACCTTAGTCTCAAAATCTTCAATTGTCCGCATAGATGAAAGGTGATATCGAAGATCAGTGCGTCGTTACCTAATCGATATTTCGAAAAGGAATTAGTCATATTCATTCGATAACTATCCCTTTGTGATACACACACAAGGTGTCCTACGGATCGTTAGGATATTTCAAGTACCAGACAGAAAAAAATTAATCGTTGATAAATCCAGGGTTGTGGTGACCAACAATCCGTTGGACATACTGTACAACAATTGTAACTATTCAATATAACTATACTAATATTTCTCATTTGTCACGATGAAATCGTTACCTAGATTTGCACTGGACGTAACTATCAACATCAGGTATTCTATGGTGAAGATAAGAACGGTGAAACTCTTCGGTAAGTTTAGAATTTCCATTGTATATTTGCAAAGTATAGGATAATTCTCCGTGTTTTCTTTCGTTCCGTTAACCACTTCTTTCTCTTTATCCAACGTAGCCATAAGCATGAAAAAAGTCGCGCTAAAATATGAGCCAAATATGCCACAAGCAGCTACTACTTTGCTCATATAAGCATGCCATCGTACGATTAATCGTTCTTCTTCGCTACGTAAATCGTCGTAATCCGCGATCATCGAGGTGAAATTAGCGATAAGACCCGCACACCAAGTATGAAAACATACCACCTTCAATATCGCCAATATGGCGCAGGAAGATAATATCACGCTATCTAGATTCATCTCAGGGTTGCTGTTGTTGAGGTACATTTCTGTGTACTGGGTTACTACCAGCAGCAACTACGAGAGAACGACACTTTAGGTGCGAACATTCAGCGTCGAAACACAATGGGAAAAATTACATACCAAGAACGCGGAAACAATCATGGCACGTATAATCGAAAATGTATCGTAATCCTGAAGAGGCCAGGTACCAAGGGGCCATGTCACGAGCTTCAACGGAGTCATCGTGTACGTGAAATCTTTGCTCTTTGACGACTTCATTTCCGCAAAGAGAATGCTCAAGGAGCCTGACAAACGCTTATTCCTCGTAATCGCGAATACTTTCCCTTATTTTTCTTCTTGCACAGTAGCTCCGCGCTCCGTATCAACGTTCATCTTTTATTCAGCCGTAATCGCTTAACCGATTATCGCGCAGCGCCTTACCGATTCTACGTCAATTGCACGATTACGAAGAAAATTCCAACGGTGGGGTTTACATGTCGAACACTTTCCTCGCATGTTACAAACAATACGGTATTCCGTGTCTTCTACGGGACAGAGTTTCGAAAATTGCACCGTATTTTCAAACTACGCTCAACTTTCAATGCAAATTGATACACGACGATCGCATCGACGGGAAAAACACAGAGGATTATTTTCTTACCGCGGGAAGATGCTCGCTCTCTCTCTCTCTCTCTCTCTCTCTTGGAAAATGAGTGGACAGGGAGTGAAACGCGTAAAAGATGAGACGTCTATGTCCAAGCCGTAGTTTATTCTTGTGTATTATTGTATAACATATGATCCGTGAACGGGTATGATTATACTATTCGATATAACGCTCATGACCAAATGTGTTCACGAGTCTAGGAGTACCTTCAAAACGGATAGATAGGAGGTGGAGGTTTTCATTATCTCCTTGAAAGTGAGTATATTCATCGAGAAGAATTTTCCAGCCGTCATTTGGTACGGCGAGTTACCACGGTTGATTATCAGCAGCAGGTCCTTGGCTTCGCGTCCTCGAGATCGGTACCAAAGCGAGTGGTAGGCGGCTTGAGCGACCTCTGCGGTTCGGGACTCGAGAACGTCGCCGGCGTAGGCGTAAAGAAACAGCTGTACGAGAACCGACACCACCAGGACCAGGCTTTTCATTAAACTCATGTTGTCCCTCGCTTTCAGGCACACCAGAAATACGAAACCTGGTTTCACAGACAATGCACAGGGCGTGGTAACGTATTAATTCTATGCATCATTCGCAATTGTAGCATCGGACACAGATAAACGAATCGTGTTTCGATCATCGAGAATATAATTCAAGGAGAACTTAATTATCGGAACGGACGTAATTGCCTTTTCTTCGAGCTATAAACTCAGAAGGCAACTATCTTATCTTAACGCGGCAATTAGGGATGCGCGTTATTTTTGTCAATTAATGTCTAGGTTAGTAGAGGAAAGGTAAAAAAGTACGGAATACGAGATAGGAATCGGGGCCGAATGTTATCGTTGCGATAAAAATAATTTGTTCTCTTTGGTAATTAGCCCTAATCGGTACGATTTTAAACTATCACGGAACAGGCTCACGAATATAGCATTCGCGGTGATAAACGGCGATCGGGGAATTAGCGAAAGCCCATTATTCGTATCGTAAACGCGAAATGAAAGCGGCTTTACCTTCCACGCCAATCAACAACGTGCTCATCAATAGCTGTATCAGTATGATCATGTTGAAGGTTTGCTCGAGATCGCTGGCGTATACCGCCAGTTGACAGTGCCGTTTCACGAGGAGGCGGATTCTTCTTCGACAGGTAAACTCCTCGAACTCGATCTTGGTGAGATCCATCTTGAGAATCTCGAACTGGCCGCAGAGGTGCATGGTTAAACTGAAGAACAGTCCATCGTTGCTGCAGTGAATCGTGATGTTGATGAATATATATATTGCCTGCGTCACCAGTATGCAGACGTGGTGGAAGGGAGGTAGCGATCCGTACACGCAGTAGGTGGGCAGGAAATAGTCCAATTGCAAACGGTTGTTCAAATTCGTCGACGAATTTTCCGAGCTTTGGTATATCTAAACAGAGTAAAGTTTGGTCTCAGGTATCGATGGAATAACCGAGGCGAAGGCAATCAATTTTGCAGGACATGAACTGACAGAAGATATCCTGAATACAAGGTTTCGACGATAACGGACAGTCCGCTGCCGTAGTCGAGAAGCAGAAGCATCAAGTAGACGATTCGTCCCATCTTATAGTATTCCGACATGATGTACTTCTGGCTGGAATTATTGACAGTCGACCAGTCTTTCATGACCGACTTTAGAATGGTGCGAGTGTGCTTTAAGTTGAGGCGTAGGACGAGCAGCTTCGAGATGCTAATCGTGGTCGATAGAGTCAAGAAAAACGCATTCAACGTGTCGTCGTCGCTTAGACAATGATAATACATTTCCAGAAAGAGGCTGCAGATAATACCGACCTAATTGCGGGAAAGACTTCTAAAAGATCTCGCCGATTCTTTACCGATGCTTTCAGACTTACTTGCGACATGATAGCGAAAATCCATGGTCCAAGGGACGCAAAACAGTTAGAGCCTAGGGGCCAAATACCGAGCAGTCTCAGCTGCCTCTCTAGCAGAATGATATTCTGAACCTGCAATGATTCCCGGTTATTCTTCTCGTGCATTGTTCTCAAATCGAATTCACGTTTCACGATATTTGCCTCGCGATCACAATGACTCCCCTCTACTTCTGTCGACATCGTTTCGACGTACGATTTATCGCGACGAAGACACGAGGAAGTCACGCCCCCTGACATGTCTACGTTCGCCTCGTGTCTTTGATCTTTTATTCACGCGGACACGTGCGGTACCTCCAGCAATCTCGATAAGCCTGTATTTTTATTTACATGAAAATATAGACTCGCCGGGAAGAAGGGAGAACGTAAGAAACAGTGGAAAACGCGAGAGAGTTGCAACCGTTGTTAGCTATTTCCACGGATATTCTCAAAGCCGAACGCCATCAACTATTAACGAAGCGATGATCGAAATTACAGGCACGGTAGATGGTAGACGAGCAAACCGAAAAGTACGAAAGAAGCTCTAACGTTCTGGCCGGAAAAACGTTTCAACTCCGTGAAGCGTACGCGCTGCATCAAGGCGAAATTCCTACGTTCCGCATCGAGCATCAGAGTTCATCGAGCAAAACGTGGATGAAAACAGAAAGAATTCTGATCTCGTAACGGTGTTTCTCGAGCCTGCCAGCACGCGTGTATAGCTAAACGCCGTGGTATTTTTTTAACGTAGACGATGCTCGTGGAAAGTCGCGTCGACACCTGTTGGAGCGATCCAAGGGTTACGCAAACGTGTTCGAATGTCAGTGAACAGTGATCATCGCGCGTCCGAATCCTGGCAGCTGGCCACGCTTTCCAACCGGTTCGTCGAATCTTCGTTGCGCCGTGGATAGATCAGCCTCGACCTTGGCACCTCGAATTCAACGGGATGCCGTAGACCCCTGTTGACGCGTGTTCCCGAAATTCATTCTCGGGGTCGATGACTGGCTTTCAGGAAGAGCCACCGAAAGTGGCGATCCTACGCGTGACCGTCCAAGCCGGTTTTACCGACCACCGACCCATATACAGGGGAATGTTAATTCCCTGGAACTCTCACGAGGACCCGTATCTTCTTTTGTTCCCGTTTAGATACCTTTCCACCGATTTTTTTTTAATCTGCTCTCCCAACTTGTTCAGCCATCGAAAACAGGGTTACGGTGCTTGAACGTGCGAACGGATCGTAGTTCCATTCAGCGAGGAAGCGCGTGCACAGTCTTTGGGAAATATTCGAGGATGCACCAAGGATACGGGAGATAGCGAGAGGCTACGAACGATGCACGATGTTGTCTGCTTCTATGGTCGTCGTTGAATACAGCGTGGACCAAATCAGGTAGTGGAAACAAGTCAAACTTAGCAACTATCCTGATACGCATCGTGCAACGAATAATCGAAATTGATATTCGCGTTTAAGGTCGAGGAACGAAAATAAGATAGGAAGACGCATTAATAGTTCTCCATTTTTTAAATTGCTGTTCGGGAAAGCAGAAGGTCAGGAAGGAAAGAAATTTCGCACGCAATTAGTAACTTCATTTACCAGCAGCGATAAAAATAGTCACTACGTTCGGTGTTTGGTATACGAAACAATGTCATTCGCACTCCAGAAAAATATAATACACGGTGACAAGTGGAAATTTGAGTTACAACTCTAAAATTGTGCAGCAGATAAAATCGGTGGCCGTTGAAATATCTATTTTATATTTCTTGCGCATGCATATTCATCTATCTCTGTCCCTCGTCGATTGTACGATAGTACAAAATCGAAGTGTACGATAGTGGCAGTATTTTCGTTAAATTTAATTTACACCTATTTTAACTGCCTGTCCACTCGATTTTGTCCGCAACTGTACCTACCTGCTCAGGTAGGTAAGTACCGTTCGTCGGGCTACCTTCGACGGCAGTCACGCCACAACCTTCGTCGTGTCAAGTGCGCACGGAGACCAACGGGACTATTCTCGGTTGTCCGCGAGTTCTCTCATCGCCGACGACCACCGACAACATCGTTTTCCTCAACAACGCTCATCTCCAGGTAAATCCACCTACTCGGATACGGTTGTAACGCTTGGCGATTATCGCGTGTCGCTTCGTCCGTCCTTCTAGCGCGAAGAGAATTCGTACGAGACGCACGTTTGTCCCTCGAGATACGAGATCGAGGAAGATCGAAGGAATAGAGCGTGAAATTATTCGATTCGCTAAGAAATTTTGCGAGATTCGAGGCTGTTCGACTTGACTTTGACACGCGTCACGTTCGTGGCGCGTATCGAGTAGCGGTGTATCAAGCTTCAATGATCGTGTCCATTGAAAACACGATAGAACATGCTCTAGTTGATCGTAACGACTGGTTGTTGCGCCTGTACGAATTTTCATAGCCTATTTAACCACCTGGTAGTGAGATCATTCTTCGCGTATCGTTCCGAAAAATTTCCTCGCGCAATTTCTCCTCTTTCGTCGTTCACACCTTTCCTTTCGTCTTGTCGTTCGTTCGTTTTCAACGCGGTATTGCGAGACCTTTCATTATCTTTGCCGATAATTCGTCGTCGAAACCTGAGGGGAAGTTGTAATTTCGCGCGCTAATTCAAATACGTGGGATGCTACTTTTCGAGAAACGAATCGAAAACCGACCAACGCGCAGGATCTTATTTTCGGAAAAATATCGAATATCGACTAATACCGTTATGGAAGGCTATTTTTAGGAACAAGCTAATTTTCACGAGGATGAATCGCGAATCGGCAAAGTGACGTCATTTTTACGACAGCAAATCGCTAATCGGCTGAATCATACCAGACAATTAGCGATTGGTAAAAGCACGTCGTTAAGCTCCACAAAAACAGAACCCTCGACGATACAGGAAGAATCCTGAGTGGAAAAGCTTTGAAGAATGCTAGTGTGTGACCGGCACGGATCTGAGTCGTTCGGTATCGGGAAAAGACAAATAGAAGCGTGCTTCCTGCGTGTTAAAGTTAAGTTCTTTCAATATCGTTTCCTTGCGCTTAATTGGTTTTCGAGTTTGGTGTTCGTTTTATCTCGTTCATTTCGTTCCGTTCATTTTTCGTAAGCCGAAGACAAAATAAAACCTGTTTTTGGCATCCTACATTACGCGCAAGAAGGTATGGACGAGTAATACGTTCGATCGATCGGAGTAACAGAAATAAATTTTAATTGACAGTGTAACTGCCGTGTCGTAATTATTGCGCAGTACGCTGTTGTTATTTCGAGCAACGATAAAACAACTGTGACGATAGCGTATCATCGAGCGACGACATCGCGTTTCGCGAACGACGTTGCATTTGTCAAATGCAAACCCTCGGCTTCCGGCTTCGACGTTTGTTGCACCGAAAGACGCTCTTTCCTGCGGATCACATGGATCACACGCGAGTGAAGTAACGATCAGGAAAGCAGAAGCACGGAGAGCAACGCTACGCCGTTTAAATGAGTCATAGAGGATGGTAAATTATACCGAACCGGTGAAGAAAGCTACTCTGACCGTGTCTAACGAGCTCCTTTAATTACGCAGTAAAATGCCGGTTACGTGTACACCTATGAATCTTTGAATGGTCTAATAAGCGTTCTCGTTCCATCCAAGTTCCATTCAAAAGCTTCTATCTATCTATTGTTGCCGTTTCTTCTGAACCGTGGCTATCTCGATAGAGCTACGACGTCATCTGTCGAAGAACGGTACGCGTTGTTGAACGAAATAATTAATAATACACGAATTGTACCGTTATCCCGTTGACTCTTGGCTCGACGTCGCGTTTATTCGAAGCAGAGGAGGCCGAAAAGAAAAAACGGGACGAGAACAGAGGGAACACGTAAGGCGACGTGCTGGAACATTTCGAATACCGTGGTTCCCCGAACCAGGAAATGGTGTCGATGTCCGGCTGACCTTGGAAACCAACGACGAACCGAGAGTTCCGCGCGCTTTCCCTCTCGTCCGCGCCAGAACGATCTGCATCTTGCACTTTCCGTGTTTACGCTCGAAATCGATAAATAAACTCGACTCACGCGAATCATGCCCGTTAATTGCAGGGAACACTTTCGTGGACCATTTCCCCGCGTTACACTCTAGTTCGTCGCGATTTTCGACCGTCCTCCATCGCTCTAATCTCCGAACGTTCACTCGCTGCAGAAACTCGACGACCGATCGAACAAGGTACCCGTGTATGCGTGTGTGCGTGTATTCCTTCGAATTCCGGGCCCCGAAATTCGCCAGGTCAAACATGGCAAACGATTAGCGATCGCTTATGGTTCGTCAATTGGCGCAGAGTTTGGCGCGTCGGAGGAACGATGACTAACAGTCTGTACCGTTAGCCCGAATCGTTCCTCCAACTGGAGAATGTCAATTTCATGCGGTTTACGGTACTCAAATTGCGCGTTAGAGTACACCGCTTCGATTGTTCGCCAGTTCCTTTTCACTCGCGACAGCTGTCCTTTGGATACTTTGTCGCGGTGGCCATTGATCTTCAGGCTCGTCGGAGTATCTTATAAAACTCCATGATAAACCTGACGTATGATAGGAAGAAGGACTCCCGATAATGGATAATCGACGGCGACAAATCACGGTCTACTGTCTTTGATCGTTAGTCGGGTACAGTTTTCTGCTAAACTGGAATGACAAGGGGGCTCAACTCCGACGGACTGTAAGAGTACAGCTGCAAGGAGAATCGTTCGCTCGTTTCGTCCACCTTTTCCTCAAACCATTTTCGAATACGTAGAACTGGGATTTATACTTGTTCGCGGGATCATGAAATAAATACGTATATTTTCTAAATATGCGGAACCCGTGTAATACGTGGAACGTCACCCCTACATTCTTAGGGTATCCTCGGTACCGTAACTCGAGGTCCTGTCGCTATTAAGTATCGTAAGGGTAACTGCTTCGTATGGAACGAGTTTAGGTTATCCAATACTTTAGTTTTAGTGCCAGGAATCATTTTATAAGGGTTTCAGGACGATTTGGAAAATAGACAAGTACGAAATTGCATTAGTCCTCGACTACTGTTGCGGTAGGATTAATTTATGCAATTTAACAGGATTATATCGCGGAATGTACGGGGATTTCTTTCTCGTTCCGTCAATTGTTAACGTTCGATGGCTGCGATTACTCTAAAGTCTCACACTATCGCCGTGTTCGCTCCGTTGCGATGTCTTTTGTTCCGTTATCCTCTTCGACGCCACGACGCAGCGGTAGCTACGCGATTGCCTTAACCGATTAATTATAATTACAATTAGCGCGAGTGGGGACACCTCTACTAGAGTTTGACTGGACGATTCCCCTGGCCTCCGTGCCCTTATAATTCGTAGGACCTGTGGCTCGTTTTCGTCTCTGCATAGTAAGTACGCGCAACGGTATTCGAGTGTCCACGAGCCGAAACGTTTCCAGTATATTACTCACGCTTAAAATCCTGTCGACGACCTGGATAGAGGCGCGTCATCCTAAAATAACTCGACCACGATCAAGATCCGGTTGAAGGTGAACGACTTCGTCGGACGAAATACACGTGTTAAGGAGATTTTTCGTTAACAAGCTCGCTATTCTTTTACAGGAATAAAATTCGAAAAGAAGAGTGACCAAAGGCCAAAGATGTGGCTGCCGAGGTTGTGCTTCCTACTGGTTCTGATAGCCGTAGCAAAATGCGGTGGTTACAAGGAAGAGGATGCCTCGTCTGTCTTCCTCGAGGCGGCAAAATCCTTTTTCGCGAACAAGGAAAATATCTCCTACTTTCTTCTTAGAAAAATGTACAAGTCGAAGCGTCATTTGCGTGCGTAGTATCTGTACACGATTTTATTAAACAGGCCACTGCCCCGTTCGATGGAAAATCTAACCTAGATGGCATCGGGCAGATCGTGTCGGGCATAGGAACGTTGTTCTCTGGCAGCGAGAACGGCCAAGGAAACGATTTCTCGATGTTCGAGTCGGTTCTCAACGGTGTAATGAACTCGAATAAAAATGGCAGAAGAACTGGTAGAAGCGTGGAAACGAAGGAGCAAGCCGAATTCGACCTGGAGAACGTGGTGAACATGGGAATGAAACTGATGAGTTCGAATGGGAACGCTAACTTGGTAATGGGGTTGATACCGATGATGTTGTCGAATCTTGGCAGTGAGAGCAACGAAGTCGACGGTAGACCTGAGAAAGCGCAGCACGATCACTCGGGGCACGCTTGGTATATGCCGCCGATTTTAGAAAACTTGCACGTGATGTGGGAACATTTCAGTAACTCGGAACTGGGTCAAACGTTGTGGAAGAAAAGCGGTCTGGCGCAATTTGTCGGCCAAATGTCCGACCCGGAAGGACGTATTCAGTATGAGAAACTGCTGGACAGTTTCGAAATCCCAAGGCTGCGTCACAGATGGATACGATCGCTGACGAATTACATCGGAGAGTGGATCTCTCATATCTCCGATCCGCAAATTCAACAGCGTTATTTGAGCACCGTCCAGTTCGTGGGAAACGGTTTCTTAAAGTCGCAAGGCTTCCCCAAGTCGGCCATGTTCGATTCGACGAGGCCGGTGGAAAGTCTCTCCAGGTACCGAATCTTTTTGAAACGAAGTTTCGTTTATTTAGTACGAGCGAGCGCCATTATCTTTAGCAAATTCGGAATATAGTGCATAGAAATCATCGAAGATTCTGAGACGGAATCGCAGATGTAAACGTTATATTTGAAAGTCATTTTGTGGCAAAGATAACCAGTGTTATCAAGATTGTATCTTTGGTATTCGATTTCATTTGAATAGGTTTCTGATATCATTCGAAAGTTAAATAGGGACGACAGGAATGTCACTCAGGTGCTGTCGTTAGATTCAATGTCCTTTAACTCTTTCGCCTATAATATCGCGCGAGATACGTGATGAGGAATTCGGACCAAACACGAGTATCACGAGTGAGAGACGTAGTTTGTGGATAAAGCACAACGTAAACAACGCAAAGGATTAAAGGACGCAGTAGGAGCATAAATCGTAGTACCTCTGTAATGACGCTTATCTTATCGTTAGGAAAGAATATAATTTAGATACCGTTGTTTAATATTGTCTGAATAGGTTAGTGAACGCAGTGGGGAAAAGGCACCTAGGGATGAAGATGGACAGTTTGCAGTATATTAAGCCCGCTGTGGCGTACATTCAGGAATTAATTGCTCTAGCTTCCGAGAAAGGATTCATTATGTCTCGTGTGAATGCCAGAGAGATCAGCAACAGGCTCAGCGACGTGATTAACAATGACATTATCAATTCGATATTAAAGGTAAAGATGGAGCAAACGTCGAAACCGTATATTTTATTCTATCGTCAGGCGTTAATTCGAGAATTAATTTTCAGTCTTATCGCGCTTACAAATGGGCAATCAAGAGGCCGGAATGTGCTAGTCAGATCTTATGTTCCGTGAATGAAAGAAACGAAGAGGACAAGGGACAATCCCGGCTGCGAAGTGGTTTGTTGAAGGTGTCTAGTTTCCCTGCTGCATGGGCCGTTAGCAATAAGTTAGGAATTAATTTCTGGAACCTATACGGGGCAATCATGGAACACGACAATTGCACTGTAAGTAATAATCTCGTCTTGATAAAGTACGTATTTACCAATTGAGCTAAAATTCCATCTTTTCGCAATGTTTAGCAAAAATATCCAGCTGACTGTACACGTTTTCACGAAGAGGAGATCAGAATTACCACGGAAAACATTCATAGTGAACTTTAATTTTTAATCCAGTGTATTCAGTGAGAGACATTTGCGATTTTCCGAATCAGTTATTTTACGAACACCCGGTCATATTCCATGACTCTTGTTCTATCTGTAGCTTGCAAGACCACTATGCGTTAGGAAAAAGGAAAAGAAAGTGGAAAAGCCGATTCACTGGACAGATTGAAGGAAGGTTAAAGACGTTTTAGTTTTCTTCTGTATATATAGAAAAACAATTACGGACAAAATCGTCGAATAAGTAGATCTTTAGTTTTACGACTCGTTTATTTATCTTGAACACTCACACGAGAAATATTCTTCTTTTTTATGTACATTGTGTAACACTTTTAGTTTCACGGTGCTAAATATTTTTCGATAGTGTCGTAAAGATAATAGCTATTAGGTATAGAAGCACCGGTTGTAGTTATCTCTATCATTTTTTAAATCACTTTTGTATTTATTTCTTTCCAAAGGAATCTATAAACATTTTATTTTATGAGGAAAGCACGTGTGAGACAGCACGCATTATGATACAAATATATTCTTTGGAGCATCGTAGATCTGAGCTTAGAAAAGCTCCTTCCATGAAGGACGGAAATTCAATCACTAGATCCATTCGATCGCGTTCATGCGTTTATGTTCTCTGTAACAGCTTCTGTAAATATTAGGTAAAAGCTAAATAAAACGTATGTTGGATGTATAAGATATATCGTAAGTCGTTCGACTTTGTCGTAATTCTTATGCCATTATTACTTTCTCTTGATATTCTTGCATGCCCATTCAAGGCCCTCCTGGCAAACAATGGAATTTCGTTATAATTTCAATCTAAGGAAATCGGTAACATTCGAGCAATTAATTTACCTTGACGCCTTTCCCTTCGGTGGCAATGCACGACTGTATTTGCCAATCGCGATCCTTGATATTGTGCAATCCAAGACCTTCAGCAATTTCGGCTGCTGTAACTGCTTGTCCAAGATCTTGCTTATTAGCATACACCAATAATGGAACACCTCTGAGTTTTTCTTCTAATAAGAGTTCTGTTAATTCTTGACCTGTCTCTTCGAGTCTCTTTATGTCCGCACTGTCCACAACGTATATCTTTGTGGAAAAAGGAAGAAAAATGTAAGAAGCTTGATTTCTCTTCCATGATATGGGAATGTTGAAATAAAAATAACTTACCAAAACATCCGTGTTCTCAAAATAGTTTCGCCAATAGGGACGAATTTTTCGAGCACCTCCTATATCCCAAACGTTCAACTTGAAACCTTCGCTTTGAACACTTTTTATATTAAAGCCTTGTGTCGGTGTCACCTTTAATAAGTAATTTGCTATCGTAAGTTTCAATATATACACATTGTACTAGCAAATTAATATCTACGAAGTAAATAAATGTACCTGCGTAATATCTTCGCTGGCCAAAGATTTTAAAATCGTGGTTTTTCCCGCATTGTCTAATCCCAGGAGAAGCAATCGTAATTCCTTGTCTGGATTCGAACGCAGTTTTCTCAAAATTGATAAAAGGCCCTATCGTTAGATAAAAAAAAAAAGATATTTATTAAGTTTACCAGAGTAAAATTTTGATACATGATAAATATGCGAATTCAAATCGCGCGCTTGTCAATCTAGCTGACGAAATCGTTTTGCAATGGCATTGGCGTGGTCGATAGGAACGTGTAAATTTGTCATTGAAAATTAGAAAATTTCATACCAATGTATATCTCTCTGTATGATCACAAGAGAAGCCAAACTGTAAATAGATTTGTTAAATAAAGAATTTTCGTTCAACGTGCTGTGATAGTTAGGAAAATTTAGAAGCAATGGTGCAGTTCTTTTTAGGTTATGTTACGCATAACCCGTGCCTCGAAGGAAATGTTTCTTAAATAGTAGAATAAGGTGCATAATAGGACGAGGTGCATTAAAAATTAATTTTCTTCGATTCGTTACCATATTTTGTCGTTATTTATAAAACGGGAACAAAAAACGTGGTAATAGTCGACCACGACACGTCAATCGTTTAGTTACCGTTTGTCGAATTTGTTGTGTTGTTTCTTTCGTATCCAAGGAAACTGATGGTACCTGTGTCACCTGACCAATAATCTTTCATGGTATTTGAATAGAATCATGAATTAACAATTATTTAATGTATAGCTCTACTCTTGTATTGATTTATCTTTTACTTAGGCAAAACATTTAATAAAAATGCTTGCACGTATCCGTACAAAAGTTGATTTCATTTTTAGAAACATGTCATTCTATTACGCTGGTTTTAATACCAGTACATTGTTTCGCGAAGATGAGAGCATTACCTTTATAGTAAATTCATTTACTAAGGTACCGGTTCCTGGAATTACTGGTTTCCAAATAGGTTGGGGTTACTTTCTCATTTGGAAAGGAAAGGAACTATATACCTCTAAAAGACCCGAGGACAGTAATATAGACGCAGAGTCAAATGTTCAACTAATAAAACTACCAGAAAAGTCATCAGATAGGTACATCCTTGAGTACAGATAACTAAAAAAGTATACGTTTGACTTTAGCCTTGTTATTTTTATAGTTGTCATCAAGCTGCAATTGGTAAAGATAATATAGTAATCTTATCTAACGATAATGAAATATGGCAGTATAAGATCTATGAAAAAACTTGGAAAAAGGTTATCAATTTTATTTGCAGCAGTGATGATTTAGAGAATGAATATCCTGTTAAATTAATACAAGGTGGATGCACGGTAGCTCTTACTAATCTAGGTACATATTTTATGCTTGGAAAGGGAATAATAAAGTTTGTGTACACGTTCAAAATGTGGTTTAGGTCGAGTTTTTAATATTCCTACCCTGATTGACATGCCAAAGAGGGTTCGTTTTGTAGATGTTGCTTGTGGATTTGATCATACCCTCTTGTTAGCAGAAAATGGTGATATTTATTCCATGGGAATGGGAACGTACGTATTGTCTCTGTCGTATACTATTTTACAAATGAATGCAATCAAATTAAAATGAATCAATACATACGAGATAGGCGTGGTCAATTAGGGCACAACGATTTGGAAGATTGCGATGATCCAAGACTAATAGAAGCTTTAGCTGGTATTAAAGTAATACAAATTTCGGCTGCAGGCTGGCATAGTGCCGTAATAACGGATCAAGTGAATATTCTAATAACGTAAGAGTAGATCTAGTCGACGACCACGGTTTATAATGGTCACTTTTAAAATATAGGGTGACCTATACACATGGGGATGGGATACAAACGGAGAATTGGGATTAGTTAATCAAGAAAGCAAAGTAGTTGCTGTGCCTACGTCGGTAGATTTTGTAAACGATCAGGATGAGGCTGTAGAAGTTCTCGTGAAAAAAGTTCAGTGCGGAAATACGTTTACCATTTGCATGACGGGTATGTATTTCTTTTAAAAGGATATTTAAGGAAAAAATATATTTCAGGAATGTACTTTTTCAACAGATGATGACACGCTTTGGGGGTGTGGCTGTAATAAATACGGACAATTAGGGCAATCCCCAGACAGCCTCCTAAATTCGCCAAAGTTCGTCAAACTCGACATCTGTTTGAGTTTCTCGGTCATTAAAGATTTTAAATGCCGCGAATGGGGTACGGTCATAATGACAGATTGACATTGTGATTTTTCATAACGGTTAATGTCACCAAAGGAAAAAAATAAAGAGAATATTTTCCAAAGATTTGCATCTTTAATCATTTCAATATTATGCGTCATCCGTTTCGAACAGTTTTGTTGCCTCTTTCGCTTCTATCAATGGCAGAATGAATAGACGACTGCGCGTTAACATTCTTTCATCATCTAAGGAAGGTGGAGGCGTCATAGGTACTTCAAAGTTCTTTTTCACTTTTTTACCTGTAACATAAAGTTCGTACAATTTTCTCCGCCTTTATATAACGCGTTTTTAATTAGAGGGAAAACATTATTTTGTTACACAATTACCTGTTTTATGAGACTTTTTAAATTTCTCCGCTATCTCGTTTTTTCTCAAACTTTTTTGTAATTCTATATTAAAAGGAACCATTTTCGGATCTGCCAATTTTACCTGGCGAGGTGTTCGGATAGCGAATGGTAGATCGTAAACCTGTACTTCAATTGGTTCCACGAAAACTGCGTAAACGAGTGCGTATCGTAGCTCGTTCGCATACCTGTTCAACCAAAATCGCGTTCGTTCTCCTGCTCTAACGTTTCATCGTCTTGCTACGAAGTAAGGAACTTACATACTATAAGTAGCTTCAATCACGATATCCAACACGAAAATTGGATCGATGTTACTCGAAAATTTGAAAGCTTCTCGAGAAGAGGGTTCTCGTATGCTGCTCGTAGCCACACAACGATTCGTTATTAAATCACAGTATTAAAAATCTACGAAACTGAATAAATTACCTTTCCATCGATTGATTCCTCGTGGATAGCTTTTCCTCCATTTCTTCTTGCGTGTCACGATCGTACAACGACACGATTTCATTCCAATACGGTAACCGTTTCTGTTCGGATACTTTGTTAGTTGCTGCGTTGAAGATATCCTTCATCTCCTTGAAAAATTCTTTCCGAGTATGCTTCCTATCTATCGACCGGTGTAAACGAAATATTAAACCAGAAAGTACCGCGAAAGGAGGTGTCTAACAAGTTCGTTACCTCGAAGCAATCTAATTTCCCCAGCCAACCAACTGACCAAGACACCCATGTAATACTCGTCGAGGTCCTGTTTGTATCTTAGCGCGTGGAGCGCCAATGTATCCAAAAACCAAAAGGACGGCATGTTCGTGGCGTAATCGGTAATGCCAAGGAGATTACCTAGTAATCTGCGGAAAAGAAAAGATTTCATGTATTCCAGTTTGACATCGTCCCGATTGACATGGCACTCTAACTTGATAACATCCTGAGGTTTGTCGCTCTCGATACTGATCGGCGTGTCGAGCAAGCTCCTGAACGTAGACGGAAGCGTGGGCAACAACTTTTTGGGAAACTCGCCGAAAATATCGGACCCGTCGTTCGACTTGGTTTCGGTCCGCTGTAATTTCATAAGCCAAGTCGCGTAATCGAAAGGAATATTTGCTGGATCAAGGATAATGGGAAACCTTGTTCGATCGGTGAACGCTCTCGTCCGCGTTGGTTAAATTCTCCCTGGAGTCGGACATTACGTATTGCCAATGTGTTTCCGGAAAGACGACACTGAAAATCGTAATGTCGATTCGATGATGATGCGCCTGTTCACTGAAATCGAGGCGGATCAAGGAGGCGTGCAGCGAGATCTTAGGAAGCAGCAATAAAAGAGCCACAGTAGAACGGTTCGTTCGTTTTTTATTCATTGATTTTATTTTTTAATTTTTTTTTCCATATTTTGTTCAATATTTTCAGAAAATAACACTCCAAAGCGAAAAAACCGTATATTCTCACCAATCCCAATGTGTGTATAATATATATATATTATACTTCTCATATATAATATATATGTATATATATATAATATATATATATAATGTATACTTTTATACTTTATATATAATAATATTATGTAGAGTAGCGCACACTTTAGACTGTTATCGATACCTTTTATAATTTTATCGATAAATTACAAATATTGAAAAACATGAAACAGACACAGCCGGCGGAGACACGGGGACTTGAGCGTCCTGGGACATCTTTCTGCGGAACCGTGAAAAAAGATTCTTTTGTTCTTACGACGCGCTCCGTCGCGGCTTCCGTTTCGCTCGATAGTTCTCGGATTGGATAGCCCGTTTGATCGACGATCGTACCCGGGCAGGAGATCGAAAGATGGGGGGAGGGGGGGGGGGGGGGGGGGGGGGGGGGGGGGGGGGGGGGAAGGGACAAAAAGAAAGAGAAAAAAACATGAAGGAAGGAAGAAAGAAGGTTTCTTCCCCCGTTCGTTCCTTCTCCGTTCCCATTTCTCCGGAGGAGAAAAAGGGCCGCGATCGGAGAAGCCAGGGAAACGGAAAACGCGACCAATAGCCCGCCCCTCGGGACACGACTAAATAACTATTATATTATATTCGGTCGCTCGAAAATCCCCGGGTCCCGGCTCGACTGACATTTTTTTTTATTTATATATTTTCACACCGAAGTCAGAAAGGCAATACGCAGTATGAACTTACTTAGTACATTTGTGTGTGTATGTGTGTACGCGTATGTGTGTGGCTTTTACAACTATTTTCCTTTTTGTTTCTCTCTCTGTTTTCTTCTTCTTCTTCTTCTTCTTTTCCGCATCGGTTGCGGTTCCTGTTACGCTTGTCGTCGTTTTCCGCATATTATACATGTTCCTTCCTATGTTTTCTCTCTTTTCGTTTCTTTTCGTATCCGTTTGCTCTTTTTCGTACGTTTGCTTCCACGCGTTCTTCCAGCATCTTCGTGTCCTAACAAGCTTGCATTCGTTTCCTCGCGCCTATGCCTCGAATTTCGCCGTTTTCGATCGCATCGCGTACCTTCCGCCATATCGATCGTTAAATTCCCATTTTACCTGCTCGCCTCTGGCGTTATCCCTCTTTTTCTTCTTTCTTGCCGCTTCTCGAGCCTCATAGTTCTACTCTAGTACACAGTGCTGCTTCGATCGTTTGTTCCGTCTTCCCCCGTTCTTCCCGAGTCTCGATAATCGTTCGAAGATACGTGGGAGTAAGAGGGAGAGAGGAGAGAGATGGTACAGAGAGAAGAGAAAGGAGCGCAAAGGGGTGGGTGGTCTCGGAGAGGGGTTCCGTGGAGTGAAAATCGTATACAGGCGCAGCCAATTAAACTCGTACCGAAAGAAACGAGAAATGAAGAAAAGGGTGAAACCGACAACAGACAGAAGCACGGAAGAAGAGAAACCGGTAGGATTAAGCGGGGAGCCGTGATCTCGAGTCTTCCTTCCCGTTTTTCTTTCTTCCATTCCTCTTTTCCCTTTTCACCGATCTAATTTTGATTTTCCTTTAACAAGGGTGAAACTGCTCAATCCCTCCTCGAACAAAGTAATCGAAACGTCTGCCGTCGTTTACACGCGCGAACGACGTAGTCCCGACGGGGGGAGGTGCGCGTAACGTTTAAAAGAAAGAAGAAATCGCATGCAGAAACGTAAGACGTAAAACGTAAGAAGTTCGGTGAAGTGCAAACAAAAGTAAAAACGGTTCGTCATTAATTATCGTAATAAAATAAAATAAAATAAAATAAAATACAATAAAATAAAATAATAATAATAATAATGATAATAATAATAATAATAATAACCGTAAGGGCAATAAAGTTAATAATAATAATAATAATAATAATAATAATAATAATCATATCGTATAATAATGCATCAATAAACAAACTTAATATTCTAATTATTGGTTAATGATTCGTCATCGTCCTTGATCGCTATCAATGGATCTTTTTCTTTACCTAGTCATTAATAATGGATAATTAATTAATTCATTAATTAAATTACACGTTGCTTGGATATGCACATACAGATATAAAGTCGTTTTTGGTCCCACCTAACTGCAAACATTATATTCGTACAATTTTTTTTTTTTCTTTTTTCGCATGGATCGCTTTACATGTATGCGTGTATGTAAGTAAGTGTTCCTGTGTGTAATGTAGGTGTTCGTTACGTGTGCCCAAGTTGCGAAAAACTATCCTTTAACTATCGGTAAAGCTGTCGTTTCTCGAAAATTTGTAATCGCGTATACACATGACAATGTTCCGTTGCCCATTTTAAATCGCCTTCTGCCTTTATCCTTTCTTTCGCGTTATCTTTATCCTTATTACCCTCTATTTACCTTAGTTCTCTCTATTTTCATGTTTTGCGGAACTCGTGATCGTTCCCTTCGGGCGGTCCGAAATAAGCAAAAGAAAGAAAAACGAAAAACCGATCGTACCAACGTCGCGACCGAGTGTGTGATCTGCCGTTTCGGAAACTTTCCTTCCGATATCGTACCTTCGTTTCGTTTCAAACGAAAATTTCATATCCTCCGTTTTCATCGATTTTCAATTTCTTCGAATTTTCTCTGCTCGTGTTGCCAATTCGCTTTAGTTTCCTTTCCCCGGCAATGAATGGACGCGTCGCTCGAGACATGTTACCGTTTATCGAACATGTCTTTCCGTACTTCTCCGACTATTTTCTTTTTTTCTTCCTTTCCTCAAAAGAAAAACTTTTTACAACTGGCATTTCGTTATGTTTTTCTTTTCCGTTTCTCTTTTTCATTTTTCTTTTTTTTTTTTTTTTTTCTTTTAAAATACGCTTAAGTTACCTAGTAACATTACTCTCACTAGATACATCGCCGTGCAAGGGGGAACGCGTTCGGCGACCGTTCTCCACCGGTCGGGCCCCGCCAATCTCTCTATCCCTCGAGAGGGAACTCGTGGACGCGTTCGTTTCAACGGCTCTCCTTCGCGATCCACCTTCCACCGCGATATTTTACAGCCAATCGAGATAATTTTTCCACGCGGGACCATTCTTCGCGGTACCGCCTCAATTATACCTAATTATTTAATCTTTCTCATTAAGGCTAGGTTACGCGAATTTTATTTTACACTTTCTCGCACGAATACTGGTTTATATCAGTCGCACATTTTTCCATCCGTCTGGTTATCCGTTATTACCGCAATTCGACGGGGTCTTACCGCGAAGGCTCCACCTCGTTCCACGCCTCTCGTGCGAGCTTCCATTTTTTCGCCATTTCCCCTCTCCTCGCGGTCTACGCATCGCTATCTCGGATCGCTACTTCGAATCGCTACCTCGAATCGCTATCCCGAGAAATGAATAACGGAGCCAACGCGAGAAGGCGCGATCGAGTTGCCGCAAAGAGGGATGCGTTGGAACCAGACTGTATGCGGGGTAATGCCAGTTGCACGCTTCCTCGGAGACGAATTTTACAACGGATCGAAGGAACCCGTGCGCTTCCGCTGATCGCGTTCGATCTAAATGCTAGGGAAATAAATGCCACGGCCCCGTGATCCGGCCGTTGTCGTATACATACGCGACCGAAAGGAAGAGTCGCGCGTCGCGTCGAAGAAATGCAACTCGGATTCGATGAGAAGGAATGTTGTGGCGACTCAGAGATAGAAGTGAAAGAAAGACAAGGCGTGAAAAAATGTGAAAGGGAAGCGCACGCTTTCCCATTCGTCTCTTCGTCCGCTATTCGGCGAGACGATCGATACGGCTTCGCGGAACGCGGAAGAATTGCTTTTCTCGATCGTTGTTAGTCACGATTGATTCGTTTCCGGAAGTCGTGCCAATCGGTCGATCGAACTTTCGCGTTGCATCGTTAACACATTTCAAACATTATAACCTCACAACCATTTTGATAACAATCAACCTTCAACAAAAGAGCGTCCTACTTCAAAGAATCTTTAAAAAATGCGTCAGCCCGCGAATCCACTACCAGCGCTGCGCGTCTCGCGTCGCTTTTCTTTCGCAATCGTTTCCACCCTCGCTTCCCTCCGTCGTTTCCGCCGCTAGCCGGAAGTCAATCCTGCCGGCTGACGTATCACATGTTTCAAAGCTGCGAACCACGTACTCGCGATTTGTTCGTCACTCGCCACTCTCATTCGCTCGCGATTCGCTCGAACGCGACTTAAAAGAATGCCCAAAGTATGTCTTTTTTTTTCGCTCAAGCTTCGATCTCGATCGCTCGCTGCGTTTGCAGCCGCTTCCGCGACTATCGGGGAGACGCGTGCGCGCCAACCTATCGAGCGATTTATCATCGACGATCGATCGCTGATAAACGACTGGCCGCGTGTCGCGGCTTCTACCAAAATCGTACACGCGTATCAGAATCGAAGCGT